CCGAAGGTTCAAGGCCAGTCCAATCGCCTTCACCAGCCCACTGGACCACCGCGCCCACGACCGAGATGCTTTCATTCTCTCCTGTAGTCCTCCTTCCACCGGGTCCGCCGATCCACCTCCCCTGAGTCCATCCAGATCTTCCAGGTGACGAAGGTTGGTCAGCAAACTAGTGGGTTTTCGCCGGGAGTGCCCCGTCCTTCCTTGGTCGAAGCTCACCAATCTCATTCCATACTCAACAACCATTCTCCTCAACAACGGCCATTCAAAGAAAGACGGATGATCATGCCCGGCATCAACTCCATCTCCCACATAGCTGGCAGGGTCCTGCGGAGATTCCAGAAGAAATGCCACCGGATCAGGTCCTTCCCGATTTTCCTCCGCGAGGTGCCATAGCCCCACCTGTTTCACCACCAGTGCGGAATCCCCTCGCACCTGTTCACGCTCTCGAGTTAGCCCCTCCAAGCCCCAGCGATCATCGCCACGGCCTCTCACCCTCCTTGGTCCTGGTGGCCCCTTGCACCTCAATCTGCTCGTGGTACGACAAGGCGGACCCCCAACCACTCCTTTCACCTTCCCGGATCTGGCCAGCAAGCACACGTAGCTCCACACATTCGCATTGTGCACATTGAAGCCAGCTCCCAACTCCAAATCCAGGAAAATCCAATCCATGTCATCGGACAGTGTGCCTTTCCACCTCCCTGTATCCGCTCCAGAGAAAAGGTGAATCACCAGGCCACGACTTCGCTGATGTCGACGCCTCTGACGTCTATTCCAAGGCAGCAACTCTGGGCTCGGTTCACTCGAAAACCCAACCATCATCTCCAGCACGTCCTCCGGCACGTCCGGCATGATGCTATGCCACCAATTCCAGTCCACTTGGGACAATCTCTTCCGATTCTTCTGGTTCTCTTCAAACTCTGCCAACATCACCATGGCGTCCTTTCTATTCATGACAGGGCACCCCGATCTCAGCCAACACTTCACAGCTCCAAGCTGCTGGTGCATGATCGTGCACCCCTGCCCATTCCAGTGAATGGCATACCCATTCTCCACTAGCAGACTCAGCGGCAAGATCGGCTCCACTGGCTCCAAGGACAAGAGGGTGTCAAAGTCCGGGTGCTTGTACAAAGTTGTACATCCATGGGCAAGCTCCACCGTCACAGGCTGCAACCTCCCTCGCTCCTCCTGTCTTGCCATTCTCAATGGGTGAGTAGCTCCACCATCCAATAAGGCTAGCTCCAAACCCTCATTGGTATCTGCCACATGAATCTGCTTCAATCTGAAAGTCTTCATGCTGCGGAGGGACTTCAAGAGGGATGTGGCCTCAGTGATCAGCTCCGACGTTGGATCACCCTTCTTTTCCAATTCAACTCCACCATCCCGTCCTTTTTCTCCTCCACCTGCCACCGGCCGTGTAGCCGCGGACAAAGAGCTCGTCAATGGAGTAGTTCCTGACTTTTCATTCGGGCCAGTCTCCTCCTTCTCCGACGTCCCTTTCCCACTTCCCTTCAGCTTGGCCGTCTTTTTCCCATCCTTCTCCGGTCGCTCCCGACCATACGGACAGTCCTTCGCAAAGTGGTTCTCCCCTGAGCAGTGAAAACACCTGCCCGTCTTGTTGATGCCCTCCCAGGCATGGGCGAAAGTACAGGTCTCTCCCCGCTTGCACCCACCAGTAGTACCCCAGTAACGGCATGGATGTTTCGTCTTTGGTGGTCCATCTCCGCCTCCGCCTCCTCCACCCAAGGCCTTAATCGTTGGCTGAGCTCCTGCTACCGGTTGAAGGACTGCTCCTGCACCGGTATTCTTGGCCGACGAGGGATGCGGCATAGTCAACGCCAAATCCTCCGCCTCAGCCTGGAGAAACTCTGCGAACTCCTTGGTAGTGGTTAGCGTGGGCCTCCGATCGACCTCAAGTTCCTGCCGAGCTGCTGCAATCCTGAATCCCACTTGGCTTCCTCCATGCTTCGTGAGGTTCTCTGCAACCTTGGACAAGGCCTGAATCAAGACCATCGAGTCCGGAATCGCCACATGCAACTCTTCAGCTCGACAAATCCACCGGCGCCAGGTTCGGATAGCGCCCAGTGTATCCTGAATAGAACTGCCGCACTTCACCTCCGTCAGGCTGCGCAACAGATTTCCCCTTTCTGCATTTCCACCAGGTTGGTAGATGGTGAAGAGCTTGTACAAAATCGCCTGAGTCGCCACTCTTCGACTTGCAACAATGTCCTTTCTCACCGGTTCCGGGAGCGCGGCTAGCAAAGTCGAGCTCGCCCGCTGATCCAATCGTTGGAACCGTGGGGACACCTGCTCCTCCACCTTGATTCTCAACCGCCCCAATGGCGTCGCCAAAAGCAACTCATTGTACTTCACCTCCACTTCTCGCTGCACCCAGTCCCAAAACTCGCGAGACGACGTACTGAGGTCTCCCATCAACGGGGAAATCACCGTCAGCCAGTCCCCAAAGAGCAGGGCCGCATTCTCAGTCGAAGGTGATGGCAACTGTGGCAATTCCAAGTTCCGCATTGCCTCAGGCAGTGCAGCTGTCACTGATTCCAGCGGCTTCATCACGCTCGCCGCCCCAATCACTCCACTTCCATTACCTCGAGGATCATGTACCGGAGCAAGACCAGGAGGAGTGTCAGGTGGTCCACCAAGCTTGGTAGGTTCCCCCACTGTCTCCTGCTGCCCCTCTGCCTTCGCACTCGGCACGGAAGTAAATGATGCCGAATCTCCAGCGTCCGTCATCTTCTTCACCTCCCGAGCAAAGGTTTCCTCAGCCTCCCTCAAGATGCGTTCCCGAAGACGTTCAACATGTCCCAGACCTGGACTCTGTGCAGGATGTTGGCCTCTGGCCCCTTCAGACTCCCGAACATGTGACTCACCCTTGGCCGCTTGCTGCACTGACGTGCTCCAGAAGGGATTCACCGTCCCCAATGGTCCCATCGGGGTGGTAGGATAAGGCTCCAGCATCCGAGGATGTAGGTCATCACGTCCCGCTCCAGTCATGTAAGGTGAAGCTCCCATGCGCTCCGTTTCCACCCCGCTCTGCCGCAAAGGAGTGCCCGCCGCCAGCCCGTGCCCTGGGAGAACTCCACATCCGGTACCGGCATGACCTCCCTGATCACCGGGCCGAAGAAGAGGATCAAGTAGGGTCGGCTGGGAACTGGGCCTTTGAAGAGCATGCTGCAACACTTCAAATGACTGCCGAACTGCCTCCTGCAAATGCCCAAGCCCCAACACCTGGCCTCTTGGGTCATTCAGCAACTGTCGAATTTCCGGTGTTCCCTGGTGGCCACTCGATGCCGTCACAGCTGAATGACCTCCATGGCCACCACCCGCGCCAGCAGCCACGCCCAGCCGCTTCACTTCTGCAGCTGCCACCGGCACTGATTGCGCCCTTGCCGCCTTCGCCTTCATCTCCTCCTCGATCAAGGCATCCAGCCGGCGGTCCGCAGCTCCGACTTCCAGCGGCGCCGCGGCCTCTTTCCTTTCCCGCGACCGCTGTTGCCGTCGCCTCCGCTGCTCCATGGGGACCAGCGACCCCTCTGTTCACCCAACAGCAGGGGGTGGACTTGGAAAATCCAAACCAAAAAAAAAGATCACCTTGGGCTCATAACCTGTGGTTGTGACATGGGATGCCCAGCGCGTCGGGCCTTTTCAACCTTGAGCCAAAGTAAGATGAAAACACTCGTAGCGCTTGGCTTTCTACGAGGTATGGTTGTGCACTTTTCGATTTGTGCACTTCATGAATCACAGATTTATTTTGTATCCAGATCAGATCTGATCTCGGTATATTATATATTACTATATATTACTATATATCCGTATATAGATTGGATGATCCCTGGATGGTTCCTACTGCAATGTAGTCTGAACAGCAGATGGACCTAGAATTGCAGTTCTTGGCCAGCTTTTGAGCTCTTGAACAAGTTACTGCAGCTTTTTTACCCCATATTTGGCCCTCCTGTGCTGCAAACCCTGCACCTTAGTTGTTGATTCCTCACCATTTTCTGGAAACCGTCCGTTCACCTATTGCTAGAGCGGCAAGTGGACCTCATTGCAATGTGTGAATGGTAAAGATCAGCCCGTGTGGCTTGTAACTGAGCAAAACCAATAAAAATTGGTTAAGAGCCATCGGAACTGACAACGCTGAACAGCAAACAGGTGCTGACGATGAACTAAAGACTCAACAGATCTCAGCAATTTGTGATTTGTAAGGGGAGATACTGGGACGGCGTGCCTTCTGCGTGGAAGCTCCACATCGAAGTGCCGGCCGGTGACCGAGACATGCATTCCAGCCTCGCAAAGCGAATGCAATCACAGCTCGAGTGCTGCATGATGTCCTTGCATTGCTCAAGGATGAGGGCTTTGCAGACCTCAAAACACCATCAGAGAGGTGGCGAGGAAACCTGGCATAGTCATTGTTTCGTTGACTTGGCTTTGAGTCGGCCGTGGCACAGGAAGCAACCACAAGAGGTACTTGAGGCCTTCCTGCAAGAGATGAATTTCTTTAAACTTTAAACGCAGAACAGCGTTTCATTACCAGTGGATGTTCAGTGAGCGAGGCCAGTCAAGGAGTGTAGTGAAGGCACGCCAAGTGACGTGATCCTTCGATGCTGCTGACTTAGAGAGGTTTTGCTGTGCGCCACAAGCAGTAATTCCCTGTAATTCATGGGTACGTTCTCTTTCCAGACTGAAAGCATTGACCATATTGCTGACCCTGTTGACATGTGTTGACTCTTCGTGGCTTACACTTTCCACCAAGGTCTGGATGCTGGCCGTCATGGCTCGATGTCTTTGACGGGCTTTGGCAAGCTGGAGGAGCCATTCGAGTCTTTGTTTTCCTTGCCCTTCTTTGGAGTCCTCCAACCTAATAGCAATGGCCTCCAACCTAGAAGCGATTTCCTTGCCCTTCTTTGGAGCTTCTTCCTCCCTACATGCCAATTACGATTACCCCACGGGATCCCACAAGTACAACCTGTACGCTTTGAGCCACCACTATGCTATGCCTGTGGGTCTGTAATCTTCTGCATGTTGCTGGTTTGCTTCTGAACAACTCGAGCAAACGAACTGGTCTTTCAGGTCGAACCAAGGGATCCCATGAGCCGTGTTTAACCGATCACCGATCGTCGCTCGCTGATGGAAAAGCGTTGCGCTTGGCAGCCTTGAACTTGCCTTGTCAAGAGCTTCAATTGTATTTCCTGCATTTTGTCACTTTGGGAAGGCCGCGTGGCCGTGGGACACTGATCAACAACCCTGCACCGAACATGATCTTTCTGCGCTTGTCTCAGCTTGCAAACTCTGGAGATGTTCCACTGAGGTTTCTGGCTGATGTTCTTTGTGTCTTTGTGGCTTAAAATGCTCAGGCGCCTAAGCACATCTACAGAGAACTACAGGCACTGATTGGATCCAAACAGGCGAAGTGCAGATGAACTGCCCACGGACTTTGAGTGATGAATCATTGAAAACTCTTCAAAAAACGGTTTACTGTAATTGTTTTTAATTGATCAGGTGCTGCGGGCAGTGTTTCAAAGCCCTTCAAACACTTTTGGAGCTGGGGCGCCAAGGGTGTGCTAAGCGTTGGTATTGCCAACCTCAGTGCGGTGCAGGAGGTTTGGTGGCTGCTGTTAAGGTTCGAAGAATCATGCAGCTTTGTGCAGAGAAGGACCGACACGGACGGATCTTTAATTACTTCGAACTGTGCACATAGTCACCGTCTGATAGATTGCCACAGGAGATGGTGTATGACCCCAGCCTGCCGCGTCGCAGCAGTTCGAGGCCAGACTTCATCAGACGAGGGACACACTTTGTCATTTTGTATGGTCTCGCCAGGGAGGAAGGCAATGAAACAAGAGGACATTTTCCATACATTGATGTCAATCTGACACGCTTGAGAAAGATAGGAAGACAGGGAACATTTCTTTGTGCCAAGAAACTTGAAGTGCACACTGCCGGCTGAACGACAACCATTTTGGCAAAAGAGTTTGTGGAGATCCTGGAATGATATACACATTTCGCTGGAACCTGGAAAAGCAAGAGACACCCCCCTCCAAAGTCACAACCATATAAAATGCTTAAACTCTTCAGCGGCTGAGGCCCAAAAAAGCGATGCGACCCGCCTCCAAAACGACAACCTTGTTTTTCATGCCTCCTCTTCCAGCAGATTATCAGACGCTCATAGGGCTGTCATCAAAGTTGCAACTTTTCCCAAGCGAGCACAGTGAAGTGCATGGGCATGGCAACAGACACTTGAAGAACACTATATTGACCCCAAAATGATCCCAGTACGGGAAACCTCTATTAAAATCTATTAAATCTAGGGCGCTGGGGGCCAAAACCAGGTGGTCATTCTATAAAAGTGTATATTTTGACCTTAGAGAGACCCCATGCATTTTATAAAAAGGCAACAACAATAGGTCTGTGTTTTGAGATCTGGCTGCAAGACCCTGTCGTTTCATAGCAAATGTGCACATTTGTTTTCATGCAGCAACATATTTTGCTGAGGGCATTCTATAGAGAATCACTTCGGACAGAAACACATTTTATAGAGAGAGGAGTTTGGCACAACACGACCGTGAAAACGAAGACGCACTTCGGACACAAAAGCATTTTATAGAGAGGAGTATGAGGAGTTTGGCACAACCCAAAAGCTTTATAGAGAGACGAGTTCGGACAAAATGAGAACCCGAGAGCGGGTGAGAACGGATGAGAGAGAGAGAGTGAATCTTCAAAAACGACAGTTTCTCTACAGAATGGTTTGCCCAACCTCAAGGTCCATGAATTTCAATCTCGACAATGCGCTCTCTATAAAATGATTTTCAGGGGTTGTGATGAAATTCATTGCTGCCTGGTTTGGCTTGGGCAACACATTCTATAGAGGTCACTGTTGGGACACTGATTTCGGATGTTATTTATTTTTTATTTATATATGCATATTTTTTTAAGACCCACCCATTCTATATAGCTTCTCTGAGCACCATGCATTTTCCAAGAGATTTTGCATATGACTATAAAATGCCTTGTCCAAGGCCGCCTGTGTAATTTTAACGGGGATCCAAAATAGATTAGACAAGTACAGAAAAGTGAGGGGTGTATGGGAAAGCATTTATCACTATCTAATGGTTTGGAATCTTCCATTCCATGTCATTCGGCTTTCTCACTGCTTTGAGCATGACTACTATAGCCGATATTATCAGGAGAGCGGCTTCTTTGGTCCAGTCTTGCAACTTGCATGATCAGGAAAGCGACCTCAGAAGGAGGACAACCAACGTACTTATGGTTTACTGCAGAGGCTCACAGTTCTTGGAGTTCTTGGACAGATCAGATCAGATCCAAGCAGTTCAATGTAAGTTAATGCAACGATGATGACAACAACATGGGAACACCACCCAGCAACAGCTACAAGACAATTTGACAGCACCAATGACCAACACGGACAAAGCTCGCCATTGCCAAACCATTCCTCCTTCCTGTTCTACCTAACTCTGAGATTCCAGGGGCCCAACCCAGTGTGCCTGTAGACCAACCTAGTATCTCTTTGCAGAAAGGCAGTTTTTTGGGAGCTTCTACATTGCCGTGTTTTGAAACAATACTTACTTTGTTTTCGCACGTCTGAATTTGTCAATCCAAGAAGAGTTAATACTTTCTTTGCGGATGAGGTCTTGGGGAAGAAATTCAGGATGCGGCTTCGTAAACAGTACTAGTAGGCCAGTAGGCTTGATTTCGCAGCTTTTGTCTTTGATATTCCCAGCTTTCAACCCCAAACCGGAGAATTCTATCTACAACAAGCAAAAAGGATCAAACGGCATGGTTTAGGCTTGCTCATTCTGCCAAGACATGAAATGACTATTTGTGCTAAACTATCTCCACATTCTCCACACTAAGCGACTATTGATCGCGTCGTGGCCAAAATTAATCTTCAGACTTCGGACTCATGGTTTCGGGATGAACCCAGACCAGCCTGCATTACTTTCAAGACTGTGGTCTCCACAGCTGTGGGCAAGCTGTTCTGGGGTGGAGTTGAGGCAACTCTGGGGCGGCTTGATCGATCTTGACATCGACAGCTCCTGGTGACGTAGAATTGGGAAACCTCCGCCTCTTGGAGCGAGGACGCTCCTTCAGTAGATTGGCTGTCTAAAGTCTGAGGTCCTGACACATGTATTATAATTGTATATATATATTATATATAATATATATACTGTATATTAATTGTGTTTGTTGCTCCTCCATTTTGCTTTGCAACGGATTCACGCACTCTGACTCGAGTGCGACGACGGAGCACAACGCCAAGTCCTCACCACTGTCATCGTCCCAATCTCTCCTGTTGTTGGAAGAATTCAATTTCGGGATAAAGCACTTTGGTCCAATATAGTGCCATTTGTGCAGCAGACAAACGGCAAGAGTTCAGAATCAACCACATGTTTGTTGTGTTTGATGTACGTTGATGCCAGGAAAGGGTCAGCATGCTTGACGAGGTGACTCTAGACAAGATCCTCAGGACACTGCACTGTTGCAGCGTAGTTGCTTCTTTATTGTTGTTGCACTAGTTTGCACTTGTCTTGAATTAAAGGGTATAGGTAGCGTATCGTAGCGTAGTTCTTTACAGTTTTTACACTCAAAGTGTAGAGAAGACTGGTGTGGAAGCCTTTGCGCTGATTGCGCAGTGTAGTGTGATCCAATGCACTCCAGTGGTGAAGTGTATACTGTATGTTTTGCTTTGGACATCTGTACTTATGTAGACGTCTTAAAAAGTCTGTCCCTTTCTGCTTTTCTTGTCTCTGGAAGTCAGTGTTTTATTTTTATTGGGTATTCTTCAGCATCTCACAACTGTTGGTTCAACGCAAAGAACGCCAAAAAGCTTCAATGCACTCACCTTCCAGTTGCACAGACTCACTGAGTGATCCCAGGATTCGACACAAGACCAACAGCCGGCGGCATCCAAAGTGGCAAGAGATTCAATATTGGATCAAACGCTGGCCGGATGCTGAGATCGAGCCTAGGGGCCTAGCGAGCATTTGTTTTCGACACTTACTGCAGCGATGCCTTGTCCAGGCATCGCTTCTACCTTCGGAGGAGAGCCGTCAAAAGGGCTGAAGAGAGGGGCACCGAGGCTCAACTCAAAAAGGCACGCCTTGCATTCGCAAGACCTCTCCCATTTTCTCACCTTCTGTAAAGAGACTTAGCCTCTAGACTCTACTGTTAGCAGTAATTTCTTGCAGGGAACCAAAGTTAACACAGGGCTTGGCCAAGTGTATTGCACAGCTTGCGTGTAACATTTTTTTCCTCTTCGGGTTTGCATTCAGCGGCCTTGGACAATTCACCTGTTCGCTCTTCGTCCAAGACGGCAATCAGATGGTCAGATGGCTTCAAAGCTGTCAGGCTCTGGCATCATCATGATGGCCCAAAGTGAGCTTGCCGCCCTGTGTCTCAAGATGAGTCTTGCCTGTGAAGCAAAAGTGTCTCAAGCGCTCTTGCAGGGAGTTTTCTATTTTGCTCGTATTGGGTGTCTTCGCCATTGTCGGATGTCCAAAACATGTCAAAACAAGCAGGATTTGGCCAAAGCAGTTGGAAGCAGACAGTGGCCTTCTCAGTCAGCCAGCCGTCAATTGGACATAACGGTGGAACTTCGTGCCCTCATAGCTCCAAGGACTTGAGGCCTTCGAACTTTTTAGTGCATTTTGGAGAAGAATCGAGCAGAGTCAGATAGTGGCAGAAAGCTTAATTCTTTCACCTCAGAGCAAAAGGTGTCTCACTATGTGTCACTATGTGGCATCGCATGTCAAGGACACCCTGGTTGGTGAGAGTCCTGTCCTGAGGGAATCGGCAGTGCTAAAGGAATCATTTGGAACAAATTGATGGGAATCACGATGCCTGTCCACACCTGATGATTGAAGGTAATACCATGCGGTGTATACAGTTACTATAGATTCTACAGTATAGATGCAAAAAAAGAGGATATATCATGGATGAAGGTCTACAGGATTCTTGATTCCACCAGGCATACTGTACACCGCAAAATGGCACAACGGGTTCGACTTGTTTAGAGTCTATAATCAAGTGCTCACCATGGAGGTGGGAAGCATCCTCAAAGGACACTTACCTAAATGTCTCCAAGACTTTAGTCTTTAGGAAACTGATTGCAGCACTGACACCAGAAAAGGGGCTGACATGTTCTATGGTCGATGGCCTTGTGGATGCAGTGGCCAAGCCTTACCGTAGCATCAGCATTCATTATTTTTTGTCTTGCTGTTAATGCCTGTCAGCACTGGGTCACTTTTGGAACGATGCCATAAGTTGGCCGGACACTGATGCCCAACAAACACAAGGCAAACTGGCTGCTAGCCAGCATCGTGCGTTCTCAGAAATGTAAGGGCGACAGAGTGTTTTCAACTGAGTCCTTCCCGATCTGAAGCGCGGCTACGATACAGCCGGGGCGAACCGAGAAGACCAGAATAGGCCTGCAAAACAAAAGACAAATGCAAACCATATCGGAACCATTGCAGACCCAAAAAGCTCTGGTTGGACTCAATTTGACTCAATCAGATGGCTGGACGAAAACCAGTCTCTCCAGCTTTCTCACTCTCCCTGTGAGGCTGCTGGAGATGAGTTTTGAAACGCGGATACAAGAGGTTGGCTCCACAGTCCGCTGTGCCACAGCGTTCGGTGGCCACAAGTGCTTCTTCAGAGGTTTGATGTTTTTGACCAGCTCTTTTTTCCGCCAGTTCGAAGATCGCTTCAACAATTCCGTGCAAGCAGATATGTACCGGATTCTCTGCGAGGTGGGGTGAAACTTGTCAGTACAACTTGAGATTGCAGGATTCGGTTTCACACATTAGCGACGCAGCTTACATTTGCACCTTCACAGGGACATCTAGGTCGTGTATTGAATTGAATGTATTGTATGACTTTGTATGATGATGATGATGATGATGATGATGATGATGATGATGATGATGATG